GCAAAATCTCCATTCTCTCCCCACTCCAGGGGAAGGATATTGCAAAATCTCCATTCCCACCACACTCTGAGGTCAGCCAGAGGTGGTATTTGCCGGTTCTCTGAACTACTCAAAATTTCCGCTACCTGTTCTCCAGAACCTGCTGAATTTAACCCCTGCTTTGAATGCTAAATGTTGTACTATTGATATGTTTTCTTTTATGTGTCTCATGTTCAAAAGCAACTAAGAATCAAAATATAAATCAGCCTCCTCCTTCATTTTCTCCTCATTTCTATTATTTTATTATGACCACAGACAATGAGAATTCACTGTCACTGCTGTGAGAGAGGTGGCAATATAAATAATTTAAATAAACAAATAAATAATTGGAGTAAAATTTCCAACCTTCCCTGCCCGATTAAATCTATCTATGTCTCACCCACAGGAAGTGATTGCCAACGTTTCACAGCAGGACAAAACTAATGATAATGCATTATAGATAATAATTACAGGAGAACTGTTTACATACACAGTTACCGAGGTTAATGTTGGTTGGCCTCATTACTGCCACAGAGGAGGCCAGTAACTGTGATTTAATCTGGTAGATATCCATGCATTTGTTATTTGCAGATCTCTTGCCCTGCAGCCAATTGTCCCAAGACTTTTGAGTTCCAGTTGACCTCACAAAACCTAGGATGAAACAATTATTTTGGGGGTTACTTCTGGTGAGCTCAACAGGTAAGGAAATTAACTCCAGGTAACCAACCTTTTCTTATTTGTAAGCTTTATTTGGATCTTTGCTATCAATACCAGGAGGTAAGTAGTGGAGGAGGCGACATAATGCAATATTCCAGTTTTGCTGGACAAAGTCCTTCTAAGACCTCTCAGAAGAACAATTGCAAACAATGGTTCCACCATAAAACCGTGAAGCCCTTATCCGCGCTGACATAAGTGCGGAGGGCAAATCCGCGCCGCCCGAAGCGCTAAGGAAAAACGCAACCCTACCGCGATGGCATAACCGCGGAGGGCAAATCCGCGCCTTCCGAAGCACTCAGCACCCTAAACCTAACCCTAAACCTAACCCTAACCCTAACCCTAACCAACCCTAACCCTAACCCTAACCCTAACCCTAACCCTAACCCTAACCCTCAACCTAACCCT